TTTTTTTTTTAATACCTCATTCCTACCCCTCTTCGTTTGTACCAGTGCATGCGAGAAGAACCAGAAAGGCGAAACCCATATGTACCTTGACGGCTTGACAAAGTCGTCTTCTGTCTTCTCACTCCTCTCTTAGCCGTCTGGTGTCATTGTGCCACACCATTGCTTGCCTACCGGTATAAAATCTGATTTTTATGTATTCCTTCTTCTCTTTTTTGCATCGAACAATTTCTCATATTAAGTGGATTAAATAGAGCTATTTTATTGAAATTTGTCTTTATTACTGGTGATAAGATGGAGTTTCTGGGTACTATCGTATTGGGTAGTATTTACTTTCCACTTTTCCTCATGCATTCAACTGTAACTCAAAGCACATGGGGTTTTTGATAATTTGTTGTTGGAGAATCGAGATAAAACTTGAAGACCGATCTATTATATATTAATAACAATTCTTTACTTTGAGATTAAGATTAGTAGAAAGACAACAAACTTGACTCATTGGAGGTTTATTGATTCACATCTCAATTGTAAGATTACTTTGAGACAAACCCAACTCATTTGTAATTAAGATTACTTTGAGGTTTACTGATACACGTGTCAATTGTAAGAATTTTAGGAATTTTAAATATTGTAGTGGTGCAATTTAAAGGTGTGGGTGTCAAATTGAAAAAATAACTCTACTAGTCCATCTCTAATGTTTTTGCAGTTATGATTTAGCATTTATTATGCTGTTAACAGAACTAATTTTGATGTCTCTTAATGAGATATCAGTGCATTGATTGGTACTAGAAATGTAGAACCTTAGCCACATGAGTTTAAAAGATTTTGATAGGGGTGTCCAAAAGTCCCGAATCGAACCGGATCGAACAGAACCCAAATCGAGCGGTTCTTCATAAATTAAATACCCGAACGGGTACCCGAATCGAGAACCGATGGGTTTGGGTCGGGTCGGGTCTTGGGTCTAGACCAAGAACTGAAGAACCGAATAAGAATCGAAACTAAATAATTTTTTTATTTTTTATATTGAATTAATTAAATTATTTTATTTTTTCTAAACAAATTAACAAATTAATTAAATAAATCAGATTATTTTATAATTTTAATTTTAATTTTAAAGCTCAAATCATTTTTAAAACTCATTAGCCCATTTTAATTTGAAGCAAATGAATATATTTTATGTAGTGTTGCTGTAATATTAATATCTACTTTTTGGTATTTGTATGCATTGAATTAATCTTATTGAACGGCTAATTATTTATATGTTTTTGTATTGGGCTACGTTAATTTGTAAAAATTACGAATGAAATGTCATTAGTTGTATTTATGTAGTGTTGCTGTAAATATTAAAAAAATTAATTATGGTACGGAACCGAACCGATCCGAACCGAACCGAACCGAACCGAATCGGAACGGTTCCATAATTATATTTGGACCCGACGGGTCCATTTATTAAATACCCCAAAGTTTTAGGTCGGTTCGGGTCTCTTCAAAACCAAACCGAACCGACCCACGGACAGCTCTAGATTTTGAGCTCCCAATTATTCTCGTGTGTCCACTTCTAGAATGGATTTATGTTACATGATTAGTTGGATTGAATTGGAAAACAAGTTTCGAACAAAAAATACAAGTGACAAAAGCGTGCAATTAGTGATTGATATAAAAAGAGAATATTGGAGACATGTGTTAACAAGAATAATCGTTATTGTGAAAAGACTAGCCAAAAACACATTGGTATTTCGACGAGATGATGGGAAGCTTCATGTTGGGAACAATGATCTATTTTTGCAAATTGTAGAAATGGTTACTGAGTTTGATCCAATAATGCAAGAGCACATTTGGCATGCTAAAGCACGTGAGATTCAGTATACATATCTCAATAAAACAATTCAAAATAAATTGATACAGTTGTTGGCTGATGAGGTGAGAAGTTCAATTATCAAGAAAGTTAAACATTCAAACTCTTCTTAGTTATACTTGATTGTACTTCATATGCAAGTCACAATGAACAAATGTATCTAGTAATACGATGTGTAGATGATTCAACAAACTTACCGATAGTAGAAGAATGTTGGGTTGAATTTTTTAAGGTGGATGACACATCAAGACTTGGACTTGCAATCGAGCTTCAAAAAGTTTTAATCAACCTTGATCTTAATATTGAAGATATTAAAGGGCAATGGTATGACAACTGATCTAACATGAGTTGGAGGCACAAAGGTGTACAAAGAAGATTACTTGAAATGAATTCCAGAGCTTTATATACTCCATGTGGGGCTCATAATCTTAATCTAGCATTTTGTGATATGATAAATTGTTGTCCTAAAATTGTATTCTTCTTTGGAGTGATGCAACGAATCTACACATTGTTTTCCTCTTTTACCAAACATGAAATTTTTTCAAAGATAATGTACAAGGTTTGACAGTAAAGCCATTGTCACACACGTTCAGAAAGTCATGTTGAAAATGTGAAACCTATAATTGAGCAAATTGTATACATAAGATACGCTTTACTTGACTTGGCAGAAATTAACGAAGATCCTAAAACAAAGGGTGAAGTCGAGTTTTTAGCAACATATAACCTTTAGAATTTTGAGTTCTTCCTTGGCATGATAATCAGGTACAGGTTGTTGTATGCAGTCAATAGTATTAGTTAATTTCTTCAAACTGAAAACATGAATATTGATGGTACTATCAACATCTTACAAGGATTTGTTTCGTTTCTCGAAGATTATAGAGAAATTTGATATGTTATTGCCATGGATGAAACGATGAGATAGGCAAATGAACTGGGAATTGCAACTACATTTCGAGAAAAACGTATAATTCGAAGAAAAAACGGTTTGATGAAAGTAACAGTGATGAGGTACAACAATCAGATGAGGAATCTTTTAGAGTTGAATATTTTCTTTTTATAATTGATCAAGTTTCATCTTCTCTAAAGACTCGATTTGAACAATTTAAACAATATAAAGAGGTATTTGGATTTTTATTTTATATGGAGAGGTTAAGGCGTGCAATTTTTCCCAATTTGTTGAAGTCGTGTATGAATCTTAAGAAATATGTAGAACATAATGGACATTCGGATATTAATGGAGACAATTTATATTCAGAGTTACTGGACTTGAAGTGCTATATATCAAGTAAAGCAATGAGAGCAATTGAAGTGCTACAATATTTGAAGATCTTGAATGATTGTTTCTCAAATGTTTATATTGTTTACGAAATTTTGCTAACCATATCGGTTAAAGTTGCATCCGTGGAAAGATTTTTTTTTCAAATTGAAGTTCATCAAAACTTATCTCCGATCAATTATGTCACAAGAAAAACTGAATGAATTAGCTATGTTATCAATTGAGAAAGAAATAGTTGAACAATTTGATTATTCAAATTTGATTAATATTTTTGGCTCTAAAATCGCAAGACGAACAGTAATTAATTGATCGTTTGAAACATTGTGTGCATTGTTATTTGATTATAATAAAAAAATTTTTTTTTTTTGTATGAACTTGGTTGAACCCTATTTTTAGTGTAGAATGTATTTTTGGAATAGTATATCGATATAAAATGTGTAGTTAAAAAATAAGGAAATGTTTTGAATTTACGTGTAATATTATTTTATTAAAAAATGTATGGTTGAAAAGAAGTTAGAGAAAAATGTATTTTGAAAATAGTGGGATCAAACAAAGGCTATAATACATTGTTTTTTAACCACACATTTTGAAAATTTTCAACGATTGTACGCTGCTTGAATCTACAAATTGCTTATGTCATTTCAAAGTTTATTTCGAGAACTACATTATAGGCATATCGAATAATTCAAACAGATATCGAAAATAGTTAAAAATACGTTAAACGTGAGTTTTAAATAAAGTCGCCTAACTCACATTTTCTTTTAAAAAAAAAATCAATTATTTCATGAACATTTATTATTTTTGCTATACAAATCTCTCAATGTAATTTTCATCATTTTATTATAAAATTTTATATAGAATATAACATAAATTTTTTTTTGAAATTTTACATTTGAAAAAGTTATATCTCATGTAAATTTTCGAATGCAAAATTATATGGGGTATGATTTTTTTGGACGTAAATTTTCAAGTATAAAATTTCTCTCAATTTCTTTGCAAATTCAATTGTGCTATTAGAATTTCACATTACTTTGAAAAATATAAATGATCAACTTAATAAGGTGAGGGTAAAGTGAGGACAATCCTCCTAGTAAACCGGTTTTAATGCGTGAGGGGGCGTATTAGAATTCCATATTATTTGAGAAAATATAAATGATCCAGTTAATAAGGTGAGTGCAATCCTCCCCTAATAAGCCGGTTTCATTAAGTGGAGTTAAGCTCAATATTCTTAACATGTGCCACCCTAACTTTAAATTTCTACATCCCCCTGCTTATTTGTCAGGTATTAAAATTCAAATTTTAATGTCAGTCAAATCAACAATTATTAACTTTTCACGACATTTCAATCACATAATTTATTAATTTTTATTAAAATCTATTTAAAAATCTAATTTTAACTTTGCCCTCCCCCTAAAGGTGGGAAAAAGTGATTTCCATAGTTTTAAACAACAGCCAAAAATCGATAATGTGAAAAAAAATATTTTTTTTTAAAATTGTACAATGATGCTTGTCACGTGGTATAATATAAACAATGATATAAAAAATGATTTACTTCACCTCCCAAAGTATTAGTTTGATTTAAGTTTTTTTTTTTCTTTATTTTTTTTCGCGTCACATTTCATCTATAAATGTGTGAGTGCGTAGAGAGGAGCAATGAGTCCTGAGTGAGATCCCCAATTTTTTTCCAATTCGTCGATAAATCGCTCTTTAGGGTTTGATCACAGATTTACATTCAGTTAATTGCTTATCGATCCCAGTGTTCCATTATATGATGCCCAGCTAAATTATCACATTTTAATCCCTTGTATAAATCCTCAAAATTTCTCGATTTTATTTTTTTAGACAAATTATTTCAAAAATTCTGGGCCGAATTTAATGCCCATAATTCACATCTATGTCACCAATAAGTCTACCCTAAATAAAAAATTGCTTTTATAGTGAAGGTTAAAATCAACAAGATTTTGCGATCGTTGTTCACGTCACAATTTTCATCCTCGTCCTGATCAATGGCTGCACAGCGGGGGTTGGTGGTGGTGGAGATGGGAGGCCGTCAATTGGATAGGGAGGAGAAAAATGCAGAGTCCCTCACGGGGAAAAAGTTCAAGCCGGAGAAGGTCCCACTATCACGGTGGGAGTTCGCCGCCGCTTTGGGTGTGTTCTTGGTGTTTTCGACTGGGTTGTTCTGCATCTACCTCACCATGCCAGCAGCTGAATATGGGGAGCTCAGGCTGCCCCGCACTCTGTCTGAACTTCGTGTGCTTAAGTACGTTTTAGTTATTTTTGAGTGTTCAATTTTGTTCTTTTGCTAATTTAATGTGGTTGTTGATCTCATTTATATGATGTTCAAATATGGAATGTCAGTCGATATATTTGGAAAGGAATTTTGTAGGGGCTGGCTTGAAAGTCACATTCGCCATACCTTTGTATACTGGTTACTTTGATATTTTTTTGAAAGCTGAAGTATTAGATTTGCCTTGTAGCATGCAGGTTATGGTGATATGTTCGCTGGAGAATGAACTCCATACAGGGAGCTAGAGTTGTGCTTACTACTAGAAATGTGTAGTAGTAACCAGTAAGGCACACAATCAAGTGGAAAAGATTTTTGCTTTCCAGTAATTGAATTATGTGCACAGAATCATATTCTGAAAACAAAATTGTTTTCTGTTCTCATCCTTGTATCTACAAAATCTGTCGTATCAAACAAGAAATAAAAAGTTCACCTCGAATTAATTTTCGATGAACGAGTATTTGTTTTATTAACAATGCTACTGCTACTCCTACTCCTACTTCATGGAGCAACATCCATCAGATATTGCCAACCTGATGTCAATGTATTCCAATAGACTAAAATTAAACTCTAGCATAACAGCTCTTCAAATCTTCAGGATTACACCTTGGCACTGACATTGTAAACCGATGAATCCTTTTGTGTGCTCTATGTTTCCCAGACAACCCGCCAAACACTAATGTCATACAATAGCTTGACGATACCTATTAATGGTAGTAGTTGACTAGTTGTCCTGTTATTTCCCAACTAGCCATATCCTAGAAAAAGGTGCCTCAATGTTTTTAGATTAAACTATTGTTGATAATCTAGTCATCATTTTCTTTAGTCCCAAGAATTGTTTTTAAAATTTTCTTCTTGTGAATATGATCCTATGATTTCTGAGTATTCCTTTAATTAACTGCAGGGACCATCTTGCAACATTTGCAAAAGATTACCCAGCTAAGTTCATTCTCGGTTACTGCTCAATATACATATTCATGCAGACATTTATGATTCCTGGGACTATTTTCATGTCCTTGCTTGCTGGAGCTCTTTTTGGTGTTATCAGAGGCCTTTTTTTGGTTGTCTTTAATGCCACTGCTGGTGCATCATCCTGTTATTTCCTGTCTAAGTTTATTGGCAAGCCTATTGTTAACTGGTTGTGGCCTGAGAAATTGAAATATTTTCAGGCAGAGGTACTTCTTCTTTTTACAATTTATATCAATATAGCTGCTGAGATATGCCATGTCTGACTTTATAGCTTTCAGTTTATAGCACTTACTGAGTGAAATTTTGTTGTTTCAGATAGCAAAACGCAGAGAGAAATTGCTTAATTACATGCTCTTTTTGAGAGTGACTCCAACTTTGCCAAACCTTTTTATCAATTTAGCATCACCAATTGTGGATATACCATTTCATACATTCTTTCTGGCTACTGTGCTAGGTCTCATTCCATCTTCCTTTATTACAGTCAGGGTAAGACCTTTTTTTTCCGGGTGTTGTATTTACTTATTTTTCTCAGTTTCAGACTAAATCCATTCATGCTTTTAGATGTTTTTCAACACACGCAATTATTCATAATTTTCTAGTTGGTTCACCCAATAAGGAGTAGTCATAACACCAAAATTGTAGGTTAGTGTTGCAGATATTGCTATGTTTTTTTGTTGGAGAAAATAATGAACAACAATGAGTTGCCGTGCAAAAATAGCAATTGACTTGTTTGGTTAGACTTATATAATATCTTTCGTCCTGTCTGGGGTACTTTCCAGTGCCTTGAAAAGATCATGTTTCTGTCAGTATAATTTAGGTTATATTTATTGGTTGATCAAATTTGTACTCTCAAACGATATGAAGTTGCTTAAGGTCGAGTTGTAACATTGAGCCCGTTTGACAACCATACTTTAGAAACTCTTTTTTCTACGTACTTATTTTCAACCACATAGTCACACAATAAAATATTCTGCACGTGAACCCGAAACTTTTCCGTACTTTTTATCCACGTATTCTCCTAAAAATCACTTTACAGAACTCTTCTTTTGAGAAGTATGGTTGTCAAACAGGGGCTAAGCATTCCAGATACATGCGCAAGTCTTCTTCCTCTTGATTTGCATGTGCTTAACTGGATATTTATGGAGGACTTACCCTGATACATCAAGAATGGGCAGTTGATATGGGATATATGTTGTCTCTGTAATGCTTGACATAATCTTCACCGCTACCTTTGCTTGCATCAGGCAGGGCTTGCTCTTGGAGATTTGAAGTCAGTCAAAGACCTATACGATTTTAAGACCTTGTCTGTGCTTTTCCTTATTGGATTGCTTTTATTATTCCCAGCCCTATTGAAGAGGAAGCGAATATATGAATAGAGCTTTTGGTGCATTTACGTCGGTCTCTGCTAGAAATGGACCTTTAAGGCCATGTGCCTGTACAGAATGCCAAAGGAGAATCTAACTTTGCTTGTGATCCATTACAAAGGCCAAGACGTGCATATATTTTGTGTTTCATGTTTGATTATACAACATATTAACATCCCTAGGGATTAATCCGGTTGTATTTCTATATGGAATGTCAAATACCAAAAAACTGAATGCAATATAGCATCTGATTCAAATATTACCATAGCCATCTCAGGAATATGTTTATTCTGAGATCCTTTCTAGATCTAATTTTGTGCACCGCTTGTGCTGGGGAAGTTGTATTAATACTTGCATTGTCCTTAACAACGTTAGTTTATTTAAACAACCTTAATTTTACTGTGTTTGGTTGTCATGTAAATTTAGGTTTCTCTATGCTATGCCTATGTAGGTTAAATATGTAGTATTAAACCGTAAACAATATAATAAACAATTTTATTCTATTTTCCTTCTTAATATTATTATACTTTTCTATCTAATCTAGACATTACAACTAAATTAGCAGTTTGTTTGATACATGGAAATTGGGCATTGAACGTAGGATTGGAGATTTAAATTCTTTATATTTATTATTTGTAGTTAACCCACTTGCTCAAAAATAGGAATTTTGGATTATTATTGAGTATATCGTACAAGGACTAACTAAAATACAATTAGATTATTTCTCCAACAAATCATTTGCCGTCGAAATCTAAATTTAGGCATTCTGTACGTGCAAATTTATACTAATATATAATATATATGAGAAAATTAAGGATGTAATTTTCAATAGGAAGAAATTCTTTCGAATGATAAACACTAACGAAAAAAAATGAAAATAAGTATTAAATTGAATTACAAGATATTTAAGAACGAAGGTTTAAATTTGTGACAAAATATTGAATTTCCCAAATCCCTAAACTATTAATGGCTTGTGTGACGAAGCATATGGCACGTAAATTCTTATTTATTGTAATGTCCAGTATTATGTACTAAGAACATACGGAGCATTTCTAATAGAACCAAGTTGAAGAGTCATCAAATGAATTGGAAAAACCCTTTTGTTCAGACAAGAAATTGGGATCCAAATTTGGTGCAATTTGTAGTTGCTGATATTGGGTTTCATCACTTTGTTCATTAGTGCTGAGGAAGGCAATTTCAGCTTGAATTTTGGCTATTTGGCTTTGCACATTGTATATTTCTTGATGCAGAAGATTTACGATCCCCACACAACCATAGGTGGGATCTTTAATTCTGCAATGAGCTTCATAATACAAGGAGTCCGCTGCATCGGCCCGACGATGCACAGGCAAATCCTGTTTCGACACATTAGCAAAATAGAAAAGAAACGTAAATTTAATGAAACTCGACCGAAGAATATATATATATATATATAAACACATACAAGTATGAAAACGATTATGCTACCTGGAGCATCTTTCCAATATTGCTAGCACCAAAGATTTTATGAACATAAGCAAATCTTTGCGGATTATTGGAAGGAAAATAAAGGGAGAAAATGCAATCTGAAGGGCATCTTCTTCTCAAATACTTGCAAGCAGCACATCGAGTGGAAACCATGATTTTGTATTTGAATTTTCAAAAAATCTTAGGAAAATCTAGTACAAGATTATGGTTTTACAATTTTTGGATTTGGACAAGGTATTTATATTAAGAACAACATTTCTTAACGGCTATAATTTTTCCAAGTTTTGGTTTTATTAGGTAATTATTGAAATTCCATAATGAAAAATGATTAATCTTGGCAAAAAAATGCTCCTTCCAACCCACAAATTACTTTCCCATATATAAGTTTAAAAGGTCAGCATGGAAAATGATACTACAAAGGCATGTAATTTGCAATCTATACTAATTAATTCTAAGATTTCTATAAAAATAAAATAATTAAGAACATGTTTGGAAAGTATTTATAAACGTTGTAAATTATAAATAGATAGAATGAGTGATGAATAATAAGTAAAAATAGTACTTGTAAATCTTCCCCAAAATGAGTTAATAAAAAGTGACTCGAGTGTTTATAAACATGAGCCAAACATAAGCTAATTCGTAATAACCATTGTCTTTATGGATTATACTTACTCCATATGCAAATAACCACAAGATGGGCCAAGTTAAGAAGGAAACGGTGAAAATGAAACAAGGAGTTACAATTTCAAGAATCAATTTCTGCCAAAAGGCTTCCAAAGTATATACAACAATTAAAATTTTCAAAAAATAGATAATCAAATAACCTGAACCTCATGAAGATTAAAGAGAGGAGGAAGTTAATCAAAGGTACAACTAATCATCGAATCTGTATTATAACAATTACGAATAATCCAGCCAAAAAGTAATAGGATGATAAAATGATATGCCAAGTAAACTCAGAAATCTGCTGCTAGAATTCGCTACGGAAGGGTGACAGCAGGTGAATCTTGGTAGCCCGTGATGCTCGTTATTCTTATACGTGTAATTGGCTGTATTAAATCGGAAAATAAAATGTGTTAATTAATTTAAGATATAGCTTACGTATAAAAAACAACAGACAGAATAAACCACAAAAATATTTATGTAAATAATATGTTCTATGAAACATGTTTATCAGAGTTACATAGATCGTCTAATAATTTCTATTAATTTTATATTGATAAATCAACTTTGACCTCACTGTCTGGATAAGAATTCAATCATACGAACCTGTCTGTGACCAATGTTCCTTCTGTAGTTCTTTTTCTTCTTGTACTTGAAGACGATGACCTTTTTATCCAACGCCTACAAGAAAATAGTTGTGACCAATTAATGCAGGAGAGCGAGAAAAATGAATTCTAAGCAAAGAGACTCTCCCCCAGAACTGTATCATACCTGTTCTTCAACAACAGCATGTACTGTTGCATTGGGTACAATTGGTTTTCCGATGTAAGTGCTTGTTTTTGTTCCAACCAGTAATACTTTATTCAAGGTAATCTGTCCACAAAAACATGTTGACGCTGGTATCTCAGTTCAAAAATACATATATATCATTCAATTTCTACAAAATCAATCTCGTCGTACGTGCAATATTGTGGAAACTGCAGAGTAGTAGTGATATACCCTAATATTTCACCATTTCATGGGAAACGACTACTAGGTAAAGACAACTAAATTCTATTATCTTGCAAAATGTAATATCTTAGTCGAATCTTTACACATTTTGACAAAAGGCACACTACACTTTTCATTATATACACATAGCACGTAAGAAAAAATAAAAAAATAAAAAAATTTGGAGATTATCTTTTAAAGTTACCAGTCTGCCATCAGCAGTCTACCGATGTTAACAAGTGCATGAATTTCTCATTTCGCAAACGGGGTCGTCATTTCAATTAACTCACTAGTGCAATATGTGGTATGCAAGTGTAAGAGTTTTTATATTTCAATATTTCTTGTTATGTGACTCATGAATATCTAAATTGTTTGTTCATTGTTAAAGAATTCTCGGTGATTTAATTTATTGATAGATTTTCATAAATTTTTAATTGATGATATTTGCTTTCTAAATATGATGAATCATGTAACTTGAACTTTATTGATAAAGCGATTGTTTCAACATATTTGTCTCATAAAGAATGGGATGGGCAGAGGGGTGAAGGGAAGTTATAAAAATGAATATGATAGCTAAATTTAGGAAACCAAAATCCAGAACGACCATTCCTAGTTGCCAGTTTATGAGGCTTATACTGATATCCAGCAACTTTCATCTTTAGGTTGAAGTATAGACCTTGAATTTGGGGTAAATACAGAAGATTTCCAGTGTCAGCATAGAAAATGATATGAAAAATAAGTTGGTAATTAGCCAGCCAATACACACAGTAATAACAAAACTAAAACTGGTATTTCGGATATTGGAGCCAACAGAAATGAAAATCTCATCATACTGAAAGCTTAAGAAGCTATCAAAGATTGTCATGATTAAGATTTTGAGCAAAGATCAGATTCAAATATATATATTCATACAAGGTGGGGTAGCATGATTAAGATCGAGGCACTTAAAACATATAGCATGACAGAAAACAAGAAGATCATTGGATAATTGTCTCTTCCCCAAAAAGTAATTTTTTTGCAAATCATCTCCACTTTAAAAAGAAGGCAATTATCCAATGAAATACGCAAATTTCCTAAACATCAAACTCCCAAAATCTTTTAATGAATCAGTGACTATTCAATCTTCCACCAGCATCCCATCAGCTCTGTGACTGCCACCAATCTCCACCTTTACAGGCTGCCATCACTGCTGCCTCAACCATATCAAAATGCAAACTCTCCACTCCCCAGTCCGACCATAAATTTCATACTATCATCCATGATGCATCTGCATCACTACGTGCAGGTCTATAGACACAGTATTGAACACAAATTGACAGTATAATGGATAAGATTTCAACTTCGTTTTCTTCTTTAATACCATTCAGGCTATCTAATCATTCCAACCAAACATGTACTAAAAGTACCACCACAGCTCAACTTCACAGCATAAAAAATCACCTCAATCACCATTAACATCTCTATTGTTCCACCACCACAGCAGCCATCTCACCATCCAGTTTGAAACATAATGAGCAACACACACACATAAAGCACAATTTAGTCCAATTGGAGATGCAGGATGTAGGTTTCCTGTACTAATTGGCACATTCTAAGGTGATCTCAAGCGAGGACTGAATTCAGTACTGTCTGTGGATGGTTTCAAGGGAAGCAGTGGTGTTTAGCATAGACAAAGAGGATAGTACAGTAAAGGGGTATTTTCGTTGTTTGATTATTTGTTTATTTAGCATAACAAAAAGGAATCAGCATTAGAATTCAGATAATTGTTCATGTCTTCTGCTCCCACTTCCCACCAAAACAGGAGATCTGGCTTCGCTCCTAGGAAATTCAAATCTGATTTTAGTTGTTCGCAACTTGGACAAACTTATCCCTGATAATCAGCTTATTATGGTACTAAAAATTCTCGACTCGTAGGCCAATCTGCATGTCTTTAATCCATTCTCCATTGTTGGTCTAACCATAGCGTCCTGCATTTTGATTTAAAACTTCTAGATTATTTATCTACACCCGTGTGGAAATTTAGATAATAAGGTTGTTAATTTGAATCTTTTCAAATTCTAACGATCCAATTTAAATTCTCAAAATCAAAATGACCTCCCAAAAACTAAATAAAGAGATTAGAAGACAAAATAGAACAAAACACAACACAACAGTGGTTTAAGATTGCAAATTCAGTCAGATAGATATAAATAAAACTTACTTGAAACACCAATAGGACAAAATGTAAATGAAGAAACAAGAATAATCACATATATAAAGGGCAGGCAAGACAATGGATAAATTATATTAAAATTCTAAGATCTTCATCACTCAGGCTTACTTTGTCATTCACATTTGCATCTTTAAGCCTCTGAGTATATATAAAACGTCCAGGGAAAACAATATATTGTCGAGATCCAACCTGTAAGATAAAAATAAGAAACAAGATAACAGGTCAACTTTAGAACTCAATATGAACATCTCAAAATTATATTTCAACCTTAAAAACTTTGGTAAGAACGTCAACAGTACATTGCTGTTCTGTGCGGACAGAAACCAATGCCTAGCAAGGATATATCACCACGGAAATTATGTCCAATAGATTACTCAAAATTAATTCGAAACTAAGTAAACTCAAAAGAGATAACAGTACTAGCATTTATCAAGCAAAAGCCATTCAAAGAATAAAAAAATATTATAATCACAATAGTTTAACTTTAAGGTCATACTATATTTATTTATGGTACATGGAGTTTCATATCTATTATCTTGTGCCTTCCTGTGGGAAAAGCAAAGATGCTCAGGCATTAATAAGTACTCAATTCTCTAAATTTTTAACAGGAAAAAAAAAGGCAATGCCTATATCATCACAAAATTACTTATTTTTAACCAAGGGAAAAAAAATCTATCAAAGAAGCCATCTTATTATCAACTCGCTCCAAATACACATGAAAAACACAAATGCCAATATCACATACACGAAAATTTATCCCTGAATATTGAAATTTCCAAATGTAGCATACATATACATATGTTGATAAAACTACACAGTTCTCACCATGACAACTGCAAAGACTTCTTCACGTTTAGGCTCTGCTTCTGCAATTTCAACAGTAGGCTGAATTTCAGTTGTGGGCTCAATTTCAGACTCAGCCAAAGTAGATGGGGCCTCTGTTTGTGAAAGTTTGGGAACAAAAAATGGCTGTTTCGGTGAGGCGAGTCTGATGGAAGAATTAGAGCTCGAGAGAAAATTGAGATTAGTTTTGAAGGCTCGAACGGTGGATTTATGGTTCTGAGATAGCGTTGATGTTGTAGAGAGAGAAGAACAGAGAGAAAGGCTCGCCATTGTAGAGGGAGAGTGTCTTTTTCTTTGGGTTTCTTGAATGCATTGGGAAGCCTATCCTATCTGTTATAAGTAAAATGACTGGCGTACCCTCGACATTGTACACTGGAGAGCCTTTAGGAGATACCAAGCTATGAAACCCCCGTTTGAGTAATAACACAATTAATCAGCCATTTAATTTAAAATTTTTAAAATTGTTCAGTACCACTTTTTATTCAGAATTTTATTCTAAATAAAAAAAATTGTATATTACGTTACAATGATGTGTTATATTTTGAATAAATAAGTACAAAGCAGAGAAATCCAAAGTACTTCAAATATATATAAAGATATAAAAGAATAAAAACGTTACAGAAGGGTATAAATTCAAACCGTGCAATGGTCTCTTATGATCCGCTGTTTAACGTACTGGTATGGCTAAAAGAAGTTTAAAACTTTGATTAGGTAAATGAAACCGTTCAAACTCCAGCGGGTATAAGTGACACTAAAATTGAAGTATGTGACAATTGGTGGTATTGACCATAAAAATCAAATTGTATTTCTTAAAGTCATTATATAGTTTTTTCTCTCTTCTTTCAGAGTTTTTCCTCTTGAATTTCTCCTATTTGAATTCAATTTTTGTATTCGTGAGAGATCCTATTTTTTAGTTGAGCAATGACCTATTTTTTAGTTCATTTCAGTCACTTTTACAACTTATATTTTTCATCACTTTAAGAATTCATGATTAAATTTTAATTTTCAAATCTCATTGATTTTGTGTTTACGTGTCATGCGTCCAGGAATCCTATGTTTTTCACGTTAAGGCGCAGTGCACTCTCATATTTCTAGTCTCGTTCAAGTCCTAGTCTATCCAAGACTCTAATCATATTTCTAGTCATGTTTTAAAGCTCTACACACTTATCTGTTCCGGTAAGGCTCGATGATCGAAGCATTCTTTGTTCGGACAAACATCGATGATCGATGCATAAATATTCGTTCCAAGACTAATTGAGCCTGCAACGAGATAGTCCAACCTTCAATTCTCGAATGTAAACAAAAAGGTCATGAAAAGTTGTGTGACGGGAATACTTCGTCCCTTTTCGGCGGGATTAAAATTTAATTTAAATCAAAGTCAATAATTAATTTCAACCATATATTTCATGGAACCCATAACTTTTTAACATTTCACCAATGTTTATTAAAATCTACTACAAAATCTGATTTTAATCCTCACCAAACAAATCCTTCACTTACACCTAAACAAGAACAAACTAGATTTTATTCGAAATGGTCTATTTAATTTTTTTCCTTGTCATTTAAGACATAATATAACCGCTCGATATTAATTCTTCACACATGCACGTCTCCTGGTTGACCGGATTGCAAATGGAGTGTTTGGCTGGGAACGACCTGAAGAACGCCAGGTTGTTCTGCCATAATATTAACTAATCAAATTTCTGGATAATAGTAAATTGATGAAAATGAACAAAATTCAAAATAGATATTCAAGAAACAAATGCCGTGAGGGTTCATGGCTACAAAAAAGTTGAACTCGTTTCATATTCAGTGCGCAAGTAGAACCAAATATCAATAAGACTACGTTTTTTTGACAATAATGTCAGAGTTAAGTCCATAAATGCTCTTAACTTATGAATAAATAACACAACTTAACCACATGTTTAATATTCACAAAGTGGAAATTAACTCCTATTGAAGTTCTTGACTTAGACGAAGAATGACAGAGTCTTGAGAGATAATCTTTAGATCATTTGCTTTCAACTACATTTTGCAAGAGCAAAATAAATTTTAAATTTACTTTTGTAGGACTCAAACTCAAATAGAAATCGCAATATTCTCTAATTCCTCCCCACAAAACCAAAATCCTTAACAAAGCATAAGCATGGGAGTTGTTCAACTCAAGCATCCGTCTTATTGTCAAGAATTAGAAACCCTAATTCTATGCCACTAAGAGCAGTGGTAAGGAAATAAAGACATAAGAAGCAAGATTTACAGAGGTTCACCTCAATGCGAGACGACGTTTTTGCATGTCGCTACAATAAAAAGTTGATTTCCGTATAGTCCGCACGGTAGCAATAATTAGGCTTCACGGCTTAATACTATGTACCAATAAGGTTATCAAGATTTATGAATTTGAAACAATATTTTTATGGTATATTCAAATACACGGGTCAGTGACGTATGGACACCATGGAATGTAGATATTAATGTTCCTTGGTATCAATTAAGCAGAGGATTTATGCTGTTGTTTCAAGTTGAGATCCTTTTCTTGGATGTTCCAAAATGGCAGTGTTGAAATGCATTGGGTAGGACTTGAGTACTAAATTTAGAGCAAACACATGCACGCTGGGTGAATGCCCACAGCACACAAATTTTATAGCTACAAGCATGTTTGGCTAAGATTAAAAATTTAACTAATAAACACAAGCCTATAATTTCTCCAGTTTCAGGGAGAACGAGAAAACTTACTCGAGAGCTGAGACACCTGATCAGGAGTCAGCTTAGCAGAAAATCCACTTGCAGCGTGCTTGTAACTGTATATCAAAGCCTTTTTTGCAGCATCCTCACTATTAGCAAATCCATCACAATTCAAACAAATCCATCAATACCCATCTTTAAATACAGCCACAAATTCAATCACACAATTCAGGGAAAAAGATTAGTGAATTTTGACACCAAGCATGAGACAATTGAATACTACAGTGTGATTTGTTGGGACAGCAAAAACCTAGTTCACGATAGAAATACTCTTATATATTTAAACCCAGATCGTGATAGGATCACTTTATTAATTTAAACCCAGTTAGTGATAGGATCATATATTTTCAAACTCAGTTCTTGGTATGATCATTCCTTAAATTTAAACCCAGATCTTTATATGATCATTCTAAATATTTAAAAAAAGCTCGTTATATGTTCATTCTATTAATCTAAACCCAGTTCGAGACAGAATCATTCTACACATTAAAACCCAGTGCGTGATGGGATCGTTATATAAATTCAAACCCACTTCGTGATAGGATAAACCCGGTTCGAGACAAGATCATTCTAAACATTTTAACCAGTTCGTGACAAGATCATCTCTAAATTTAAAGGTATAAATTAAATACAAAGAAAATGGAAAAACAATACAAAACAAAAGGGGGGAAATAAAACCTGCCAAGAACAGATGAAAGGGTCTTGATATGATAGGCTTCAGGCTCTTGTCCTTCGGGCCTCTCAGTGTATACTATGTGAACTTTAGCTTCAGAGGATGATGAATTGGCGGCCATAGCTGTTCTCGAGGTCAAGGAGAAAAGGAAAATGGTGAAGAGGAAGTAGTGGATTTTCTGCATAACTGTCTTCAAAAGTGGAATTTACAGGGACTGATTCCAAAAATTCCAAATTTTGCAGATTCTTGGATTTTATGCCTTGAACCAAGTATTGGACAAATTCATAGTTGAATTTATGGAAGAGTTATTTATTTTTTTAAAAATAATTTCCTACGTAACCGACTACTACCGTTTTATTTCTTTCAATGTTGTTGGAGATTGTATATTCCAATTTTAAGAAAATAATATCCTACGTAACCGACTACTACCGTTTTATTTCTTTAAATGTTGTTGGAGAGTGTATATTCCAATTTTAAGAAATAGAAATAAAACTATTGATCATGTAAGACATTTTATTTATGTTATGCATACTCATAAAAAAAGTGGAATACAAAAAAAATTACAATAACGAGAATACGGTTAATGCTTATATGGTAATTGGGAGTTCCAAACCTCCAACATGAACTATTCGGCGTGCCATGTGAAGAGGGAGTAGTGGATTTTTTGCATAACTTTCTTCCAAAGTGGAATTTACAAGGATTTCAATTTGATTACGAAAATCCCAAATTGTGCAAATTCTTGGATTTTATGCCTTGAACAAAATATTGGACGAATTCAGCGTTGAATTTATCAAAGAGTTATTTATTTATTTTTAAATAATTTCATATGTACCCGGTGTGGCTACTACCGTTTTATTTCTTGCAATGTTATTCAATTACGACCAGAGTTGTATATTCCAATTTTAAGCAATAGGAATAGAAGAACTATTGATCATACTATTCGGCGTGCCATGTGAAGAGGGAGTAGTGGATTTTTCGCATAACTTTCTTCCAAAGTGGAATTTACAGGGATTTCAATTTGATTACGAAAATCCCAAATTGTGCAAATTCTTGGATTTTATGCCTTGAACAAAATATTGGACGAATTCAGCGTTGAATTTATCGAAGAGTTATTGATTTATTTTTAAATAATTTCATATGTACCCGGTGTGGCTACTACCGTTTTATTTCTTGCAATGTTATTCAATTACGATCAGAGTTGTATATTCCAATTTTAAGCAATAGAAATAGAAGAACTATTGATCATTTAAGAAATTTTATTTATGTTATGCATACTCATAAAAAATGCCGAATCAATAAGAAATTTACAATCACGAGAACACGGTTAATGCTTATTTGGTGATTGGGAGTTCCAAACCCCCAACATGAACTATTCAGCGTGCCATGTGAAAAGGGAGTAGTGGATTTTCTGCATCACTTTTTTCAAAAGTGGAATTTATATGGATTTCGATTTGATTACGAAAATCCCGAATTGTGCAGATTTTTTGATTTTATGCCTTGAAAAGTATTGGACAAATTAAGCGTTGAATTTATCGAAGAGCTATTTATTTTTTAAGAAATAATATCCTATGTAACCGATGTGGCTACTACCATTTTATTTCTTTCAATGTTCTTCAATTACGACCAGGGTTGTGTATTCCAATTTTAAGCAATAGGAATAGAAGGACTATTGATCATGTAAGAAATTTTATTTATGTTATGCATACTCATAAAAAGGCTGAATCAATAAGAAATTTATAATCACGAGAATACGGTTAATGCTTATATGGTGATTGGGAGTTCCAAACCCCCAACATGAACTATTTTGGTGTGCCATGTGAAGAGGGAGTGGTAGATTTTCTGCATAATTTTTTCA